TTACACTATTAGAGTTAAGAATCATAACATTTGCTGGGATACATATGAAGGATTTATTAAGCATGTCAACACCGATAGAAGTATCATTCGTTATTTGCTCACCACCTGTGATTTCCCTTAATAGCTTCCACCTATTTGATGGGAATTTACATGAAAGAAACTTCTGGTTATAGAGAGCATACAATCTTTGTAATTCAGCTTTAATTGATGTGTTCATTCTCTTAACACCAGATTTATTTTTCATTTTGTACAACCTCTCTTTTTCACAGCGGAGCTTTTTGAGTTGAGAAGAGGAGAAGTGGTCGAATTTTTAGGAAGATTGTCTCTTTTGGACAACAAACATCAAGACAGAAATTAAGATAATGTGTTATGTTAGTAATTGTGTTATCAAGAGCTTGTTCAGTAAATAAGTCCCAGTTTGTGTCTTTTAACATGGACCTTAGATTCTGTATGTTTTCATGAGTATAACATCTGTGTTGTGTTTTCTTTCCAAGGTATGAGAAGAACCTTTTGTGCTGCTTCCCATATACTTTGGGCAATATTCTTATGCTACAGTGACGAGAATTAAGTAATGACGCTCTTTTCCGAGCTTCAAATATTCCTGTGTCATTTGTAAACACAAGATCAAGAGTATTATCCAGTTGAGTCGGGAAGTTGACAATGTTTTCGTGTCCAAGTGAAATAAGGAAGCTGTGGTCACTAGAATTGAAATCTCCAGCAACCGTAGACAAGGAGTTTCCGAAGGAGGTGGCAGCAAGGGAGGTAAATAATACTATCTTACTGTGTGATAATAGATCCAATAAACAAATTAGTATGAAATTAGATACTACCACAGTGCTCAAGTTTCACACATAGATTCCTAAGACTTCTGTTAACTTATATGAAACTGAAGGGGTTGATTAAGAGAATAATGTGAATAACAATCCGTGTTGCCTGAAAGTGCGAATAAGCAAATGATGAGGGGATTAACACTTCAAATCATACAGCATAACTATAACGACATTAAACTGTTGGTAAAACAAAACACCAACTTGAATCCAGTTGGTGTCTTTCAGTCGAACAATTTTCTGAGACATGGAGATAGTAAAATTAACGTAAAATAATACACTGACAATGAAGTAAAGATTGTGTAAGCCAGCGTATGTATGACTTAATGTTAAAATTTAGTTTCAATTATTTATTAATACATAATTCAATTTCTTAATCATAAGCAGGAATCAAGATATACTTTGCTTGTTTAGCATCCACTGAGTAACACACAAAGCTAAACGAAAGACGTAACAGCCATGTATGTTATTAATTCCGATTATATTTAGTGGAGATGATTCATAAATACATTTATTGATAACCACTGCGTTCTACTGCAAGTCAAGGTTGTACTACAGCTTTCCTTCCTAATCTGAACATATCGACATCATCCTATCGAGGTGAGGGTGTTGAATGGTTTCAACGTTGACAGTAATAACATCTCACCACTTATTCCACATCTCTAGCTTACAATGATATAAAACTAGAAGACGCACAGTAGTTGGACAGATATTTTGTTTAGATTGTGGAATTTGGATTAATTCCGGTTGTTAGACTTAATCACAAATCAACATCAGTTACAGAGATCATTGAAAACCAGGAAGCACAGGAGAACTGTTTCGTCTTATTTTGTGACTCTTCAACAACAGCTGCGGTGACACCTATATAGGTAGAACCAACAGAATGTTCCAATGTGGTCGTCGAAAAGAACATGTTCCAAAATGGCTACTAAATCATATCGAAAATCCCAATACGATTAATCTGAATAGAAATCCAGCATCATCCATTGCAAAACACTTATAAATGTTAGGTCACAAAATCAATATTAATGATTTTTTCATAATTATTTCACATAACTCTAATTCAGGGTTATTGAAGGTGATGGAATCACTCTGGATTAATCACATACAGCCTAAACTGTGTGTACAAAAAATAATATACTTCAACCTTTCAGCCACTGGGACCCGATTCAATGGCTCATGAATTCTAACTTCTACCAATTCGTGAATTAGCGCGACCCAGTGGGTGCGTACTGCCGATGATTCCCAAACTAGGATGAAACAGCAGCTGTCCAGTACTCCCTGGTTTTCAATGGTTCTCTAACTGATATCAATCCGTGATCAACTCATAAAAACATAACAAACCCTTACAAACCGAACTATAGAAAATTAATCTGATGCTCGCTAGTGACTTGCTACAGGTTGGGGTTTCTGAGTTCTAGTGAGAAGTCGTGACCAGTGAGGTCCAATTAGATATCACGTGTGTGGATGGATGTCCCACCAACGATTATGGTTGGGGTCGCGCTAAATCACGAATTGGTAGAAGTTAGAATTCTTGAGCCATTGAATCGGGTCCCAGTGGCTGAATGGTATACGAGCTTGCCTTGTAACTTCAACCTTTGCCTACTATGGACTACTTGACCTATCTAAATATGATTGGTCATTAGTATGTACTTTTGTTTTTTTAAATAACTTAGTAGTTGTCATGATCCTTATTTTATTATTGTTAACCTGGTTGCATAGCGGTTGTAAAGAAGCCACGAAATGATATCAGCTCGCGAAGTTTGTCTTCTAAATGTCTTATTCAAATTAACCAAAGGGACTAATTGTTTTAATTTAATCTAAATACCAGTCTGCAGCTTGTTGATAGATACTGGATGGATGTCCTGAAGTTGAAAGGAAAAGTTGTGACCAGAGGGGGCCAGCATGTCAAGGTGGTGGGTGCTTTTTGATGTGGTTCTGTTCTCTGAGTTGGATAGTTAATTTGCGAAGCTTTTATCACCCTACTAGGCGACATCTTCAGCGCATACTTCAAATTGAAGTGAGCTTTTAGATTTCTCCACGAGTTTATTAATCATCTCGCCTGATGACCTTGGACGTGATTAGTTGTTTTCTATCTCGAGATAGACAAAATTTATCAACCGATAAGAAAGAAACCTTGCACACAAGGAGTCAAAGAAACAATACAAGTGACCTAGAAGGTGTAAAACCCACACGAAAACAACCAATCACGTCCAAGGTCACCAGGCGAGATGATTAATAAACTCGTGGAGAAATCTAAAAGCTCATTTCAAATTGAAGTATGCCCTGAAGATGTCGCCTAGTAGGGTGATGAATTAATTAACTATCCAGCTCAGAGAACACAACAACATCAAAATCATCCACCTGAGCTACAAATCTCTATCATATCTGAAGTGGATCCTCATCCAAGGCATTGGTTAAGGGTGGCAATACAGCACAAACCGACAAAATTAGAATTCATAGGTCACTAAATTCCACCCCCAAATGGTTGAATGGTCAGCGAGCTTTATGTCATAACCTGTAGGTCCGGTGGTCGATCCCTGATGGAGTCATGAGTGCGTACTGTTGCAGAGCCCCAACATGGGAGTACACAACTCTTCAGTACTCCTTGAGTTTTAATGGTCTCTCTAACTGATTTTGGTTCAGGACAAAATCGAACAACATATATTTTGCCGATGAAAAAACAATTACAAATCACCTGACTTAAGTAACTGGAGTGAAACTGCAATTTAGCAAGCATCTGATTCTTGGAATTAAGACCCTGACAGGTAATTTTTAAGCGAACATTTCTAGTCTCTCCCATTAAATTTTAATCACATCACTAAACAGGTGGAATCAGAACTAAGAACCTTTGTTTAAATTTTTTTTATTATAGCTTGAATACGCACCGTATTTTCGGTACAAGTATGGAATTTTCAGCGTGTGATATCGTTCCAGATTTTCCACACTGATGAGCACAAGTATTATGCTCAAGCATACACTTTCTCACCAGTCAACTAATAATATCTAATGTCAAACTATGGCGTAAAGCGGTGTGATACCATTAAAATGATGACATTACTGAACAAAATGACTAATATACTTTTATTAACATTTAGAACTAGGGTGATATACTATGATTACTTACTACCTGGCAATGAAGCAGATTTGATGATGCTATCATATGTATATCTGACATGGTTAACATAAAAAGGTAACGGAGAGATAAAGATAGAGGATATTTTGAACTCAATACTTCTAGTACTTGTTTCCGTTAAAAAAATACCAATATGCATCTTTTCAGTGTTGATTTACAGGGACTTCGCTTATTTGAAGTCTGATCAGGAAGTGACTTTAGTCAGAGAACCACTAAATACCACAGACTTCTCTAAATGAAGTCAGTTAGTGATGAAATTTGAAATCGATCAAATTTCTGTAAACCAACACTTGAAGTAAACTAATCTAGTACCTATTGGTGACTGATTACATGATGTTACCTCAAGTTAGAGCGAGAATACGGGGGGATATCCATCAAGCTGAGTGCGTGGACGAATACTCGTCGATTACATTGGCTGGTAGTGACACTAAAAAAAATTGCGAAATGACAGAAGTTAGTAATGATGGATCTCTGGATTGCAACTAATGGCTTAGTATCTAATGAACTCCGTTTCTAATCTAGAATTTGTGACTTCAGACCCTGGTACAATCATGGAAGCATACTGTGGATAGGTCTCAGACAAGGGCTAAACGGACGTTCGATATCCCCTGGGGTTTTTTAATGGTTTTCTAATTAAAGTCGATATGAAATTCCCTGAAATACGTCAGGTAACTAGAATGAAAATCAATCTCTTTACTCAAAATTGGTAGGTAGTTTTAAGGTTGATGTATGACACATATACCGATTTTCTATTTATTTATTTAAAGATTTATTATTTTTGGGATTCTTTTATATTCTCTTCCCTTGATATTAATCGATTCATAGCCTAGGAGGGGGGTGGATTTTCTGCATTATTTAAACAAAAATGTAACTCTGTTTATCTTACCTGAATAAATCGGTTACATTTTTGCCTGAATAATTAATAAATGGCTTAAAACTCTCTCTTTCTCATCTGCATGATTAATGCTGAGATGTCGAAATTGAAAGAGAGAGAAAAAAATCAATAAATGAGATACATGTATACGTATTATGGATATATATATATATATATATATATAGATGACGCCAAAAATTATTTTCACAGACAATATAGAAATGAAAACAGAAATAACATGAATGTGAAATGATGAAAGGAGTCATGAATATTATCCGAATTATTAAGAAAAGCGTGGCCAAAGGATGGCAATATGACTGATTCAATAATGAAATATACAACAACAAAAATAATGAACCTAATTAGAAATAATTCACCTGCAACATGTTGCAATATCAATGGCGATGTCAATGGACCTGAATAAATAAATGTCAATAAATAATCTTATGTAATTCGTTGATAAAATAACACATCAACAGAAATAACAGAAAAGAAAAAATTTAAAGCAATAAGAATATATAAGTGAGTATTTTATCACACTTTGGCATTATATAATCTATTGGAATGAAGGAAAGAATTGAATCATCATATACATGGAAATTGTGTACAACAAAATACATCTTAAAATGTAAATGTATAGTGCTCAATATGAAGCACTCATATATGTATATATATAACCTAACACAGATTGAGTACAGGTGAACTAACTGTATGTAATGTACAAAGCAGTAAGGCAAATAGAGCAGTTGAAGAAATAAAAAGAAAGAAGAAGCATAACAAATAATGATATCATCATCAGAAATGAATCAAAATTTTACTCTTTTATCTATACTCTAATCTAGATGGATAAAGGCGACACTGACACTTTCAAATGTCTATGTACATGCTTTTCCAAATGGCATGCATATTATGCATACATTTCATTTAAAATGTAACCAATTCATAGAAGAAGGGGAAGAATAGGGAGAGTTATCACATCAGTTATTCTTTTTTTTAAATAATCAATATAAGGAAATTTAACACACAAAAAATGACATGGAAAAATATGATGCAGAGTACTATTTTATTCACACACACACACACACACACGTATGTGAAGAAATGCAGTAATAGTAATAATAGAATAGGATATAATTTATCTGACCAGGAGTAACTATTACACTTTTATCGTTGCTTATTACCTCTTTTGTCATTATTTTGTCATTATATTGCTCCCATTGATAGAAAAAATTCACATAACTTCATTGAAATATAAGGGATCTTGAAACATTTTTGAATTTTCAAGCTGAAAAACAAAAGACAAACGAAATTTTTAAAAGAATTATTGAGTCAACATTGATGAGTGAAAGTAGTTGTTATAAACAGATCTACATAGAGATGTACACACACACATTACACTTGCCAGGATGTAACTTAAATATAGCCATAATTTCGCTACATAGAGATAACACATTTCAAATAAACATTTCTCTATCAAGACTCTTGTCTTCTAAAGTTACAATTGGTGTCGCTGCCTCCGGACAATAGAGATTCCATGACCGGCTACTTTCGAGGAAGGAGACATCAGGAGCATCTCACCGGACCTTGAAACCATCGCTGAGTTTGTCAGCGTCAAGGGTACGATGGCGAAGGCAGTTGTACTGGAAACACTGCGGAGAAGTCGAGCAAAGGTGGTTTATGACAGTTTGGAGTAGTCAACCGAGAAAGAAACCTGGAAGGTGTTAGTTGAACGATTGGTGTCAGAGGTCGACAGTCTGACAGACAGGCAGTTGGCAATGCAACATTTTCGTGCTGCGAAGCTGGGGCCGTGTGAAGACTTATTAGTGCTGGTAGTGAAGCTAACAAATCAACTACTTTACGCACTCTCCACATTAGATGGAGAGTCGGAGTCACAGTTATTGACGTTCCAGTTCATAGAAAGTGTGCCAGAACACATTTCTTAGCAACTACAACTCGTTAGCGCTCCACAAGCCATGGACATCGGTGAGTTAACAAAAGTAACTAGACAGCTGTTGAGCACAACACGTTAGCCACAATACAGCTACTAAAATTGAACGAATAGGAACAGAAAGTTGATTTGCGGCGTGAAGTACAGGCACTACGAATGATTGCCAGGAAAGACCGATGCTTTGAATATGGCATGGAGGAGGTACAGCCCCGAAAAAATGAGAAGTAAAAAATTCAGACAGAATAATGTATGTTCTTTCTCTCCTATAAGACTAGAAGTAGTGGGAGCTAACAAGAAGGGGGCCAAGCATTCTAAGTTGAGAGTGAATGGCCAAGAAGTAGTACGTTTAATAGGTACGAGGGCACCAGTTTTACTGACAGAAAAAAAACTATGTCATAGCGTTTGAACGCGTTCATTGACAGTTCAAACGGTAGATGAACATGTGATAAACATCACAGGTATGCCAAACTGTAGCGTACTTATTGACGATCGTTAAGTAATGTTTCCATTCATTGTTGTGCTACTTCTGCCTTCCGTATTATGTTTCTTCGCCTTCTTTCATGTCACCCATGTTTTATCGCAACGCTGAATCATTTCCTCTCTTTGACGTCAAATCTACCTCTTCACTAGTTATTTTTTGCCGACGAATATCTCTTCGCATACTACTGATAAATCCTATCAGTAGCACACGCCACAATATAAGTCAACCAATAGCATTAAAAAATAACGAATTTATAATAAGCGTTTTCATTAAAAGGTAAACATGTAAGCTGAAAACAATATAAGCAAATCAGCCCATATGAATCATACTGTATAATCAAAATAAATGAAAATAAATGCTGTGTGATGTGCATGCTATTGATAAAATTACAAACTTTCACAGCAAAACAAGGGTGTAATAAGATAAACTGTTTTTCATATTAGTTTGTTTATTAGTTGTATCACATAGTCCATGAAACAGTATTATTTACTGGATGACAATGTTTCGAACAAAATTTATTGTTCATAGTCACATCAATTGTAATCACACGACTTTGAAACTTGAGTTTTATAGTTTTATTTGTTCTCTCCTATTTGTCGTCGTAGGGTAGTAGAATTTCCCAGATAATAGTTCCATACAAGGAAGGAACCTTGGAAACCTTACGCAGAATTCTTAACAAGGCAAGAATAGAAGTGATATTCAAAAACCTCACAAACTCAATTAGAAAAAAGCTTTTTCGGTTAAAGGATCCTGCCAGTGGAGCCAATAAAACAAAACAATTTAGTTTACCCCTAACTGCGATGATTGTTACGTCAAATACATAGGCCACAGTAGTAGAACAGGGTTAGTCAGACTAGCCGAGCCCAGGAACCTAGCGAAATCTAGATTAGTTGACCCGAATAAGATAATAAATCTGGAGAATAATTCAGCTATAGCACTCACTACATGTAATTGCACACAACCATACAATAGGATGGATGGGATAAGATGACAGCTTTAAGATCTAATGTAATAGGGTTGAGGGAGAGATTGATCACAGCTTTATTTATCGAATCAACTGCAAATACATGTAGTAGGAAGGATTCAACACCTGTCCACCCAGACATCTGAAAAATTCTACTACCCCAACGACGACAAATAGGAGAGAACAAAGGAAACTATAAAACTCAAGTTTCAAAGTCATGTGATTACGATTGATATGATTATGAACAATAAATTTTGTTCGAAACTTTGTCATCCAGTAAATAATACTGTTTCATGGACTGTGCGATACATCTAATAAACAAACTAATATGGAATTACTTACCACCACAGTGTCCAAGTTTTACACATATATTAATATGAATTCAATCTCAATCATGAAACACAGTTCAGAATACACACACACACACTGTTCTAAATCTTATCATGGTTCTTGCCCTTCTTTCCGACTTTAAAAATCAATTTTCTTTTCCAAAACAAACACTACTGAAGTTTAAAGAAGACTATCTGTCTTTCAGGTTTCGAATAAACTAATAAAAGTCACTTTTCTAGATAAAAAACACTCCAAACAGTAGAAGGCATTGCAATTCGCTTAGAACAATCAGAGCTCCGAGTGCAAAAACAAACAGATTCCATTCACCTATTGCTAATCTGGCCTTGCTATGTGTTACCTATGAATCCATAAATTCTACGTTATTTATTTTATAGACACAGTTTAGTGTTATGTTGATACATATAATCACTTATAGATGCTCTTAAACTGTAATCTATTCAGTGTAATTTAAAACTTGAATGTTGTTATTAACAATAATTCTTTCAATTAATTATGGATCAATATAACTGTAGAGTCTGATGTGAAGAAGTTATCGACAAGAATATTTTCTGTTCACCAATCAGTGTCTTTTAAAAATTTTAACGCACATCTTTAATCAAGAAAAATAAGAAACACTCATTAAAAGATTTCAAATCTCAACGGATAGAAACAAATCAGTTGTGATCAAAAAATGAGGAAGAAGTATAAACATATATAAATAAATCATAGGTAAAACATAGTCTGTATACTAAGCAACTTAAATGCGCATATACGCTGATGAGGCGATCATACAATTTTCCAATGAACTGATGTTGTTAATGCTCTTGAGTTTTGGAAATTCTAAAATTTCCAACTCACCTTTCTCTCTCTCTTCTTACAATGATGAACATTTTATTAAAAGTTATAAATTAGAAGGAAAGCATTGATTAGACCTACTACATTTTTGTGCCTACATTTGTGTCAACAACTACTAGGTTAAAAAAACGCAAAAATAACACAAATTGACAAAAAACATCCACACACACATACCAAACTATTGTGATAAAAATGTAACAATCATAAAATCAAACCAATCACAAGTGTTACACACCATAATTATCAGCTGATATATACATATATTAGCAACAAAATGGAGAAAAAAAATACTAAGTTTACAACAAGTGTACGCAAAAGTAGCATAGCTGAATTCTCAGAAATAAAACAAAATAGCAAAGCACTAATTAGAAATCTAACTATACTTTTAGTCCAATGGAGGTATGATGGCTGATGACTGCTTCAAAAAACGTTCAAAACTGATGATGAAACTGGAGATTACTTAACCTAAAGAGCTTTAGATTTCATATATTATATATAATAGTGACACATGAACATAAGACAACAAAGTTTTCTTTGTTCTTTCTTGGGATCTCAACCAGGAAGCCGAAATCTCCCTACGTGTCTGGCTTACACTGACTGTTATGGATTTCATTGATTAATGAGGTTACTACCAGCTCTCTTTCAGCCTGTCCCTGTGTCAGCTAACATTGCCACCTGTCGGTCGAGGAAGGCAGTGGCTAGGCAGCCATGCGTAACACATGTCCTAACCATCTTAATCGGTGGAACTTCACAATCTCGTCGATTGATTTCGCCTAGTTGGTTTGTTGCCAGCGCTTTTTTGTTGTTAATTCTTCTCACCGGCCATTTGATCTTCAGTGAAGGTAGCTGTTGATAAACGTCTGTGACTTGTTAGAAATCTCTTTCCGTGACGCGCAGTCCAAGTATAGAAGAACCGAATGACTGACTTCATATTTGTGTTGAATAGAATCTGAATCTTGTTCTTCAAGCTGAGCAAGGAGTGCAGAAGATTTCCAAACTGGTTTCAGGTTGATGAAGGCGTATCCAATTCTGGCTGGCTGTCTTTGACATCGTCATCCGTTCGGTTAACCAGTGGTTGAAACAGTGCTTCCTATATAAGTGGAGGAAGTAACCACTATCAAATCTCTCCCGTTGATGAGTGTACATTGTATTTTGTCCTAATATAAGCAATAACTTCAGAAATACCACCTTGGTTCACTCCATTATCAGCATCACATTATGATACAACACGTCCATTTCATGAGATGCAATGTGTGCAAATTAATAAGTAAGGCTATTCTTCATTATTGTAGTTAGTAAAGTAACAAAATAAACATGAAATGGCTCTCAACATATATCGCTTAGCAGGATTACGATGTGACTTTAATTCAGTTCATTTAGTGAAATGGAAAAATTAGGAAAAACAATGGGTTATAAGTTAATGCCTTCAAAAATAGCAAAACAGCTCTGCAAAATTTTATTTCTCAATTTGAAATTGACGTGATATTATTATCTTCTAAAATTATACTTAATTCAGTATTATCACTGAGCACATTCACATTCGGGAAAACCATGATTAGCTTTACTGGATTAACTCAAATCCTAATAGATATGCAGATACGTATCAGGGAAAATTCAAGTTACTGAAGACGTAAACAAAAAATGCGTATATCAAAAAAGGGAAACTACTGTAACGTAGAAGTGCTGCTAGACGTTTACATTGTCCTA